TATATATGTATGTACGTGTGTATGTGTGTATGTGTGTATGTATGTATTTATGTATGTGTATGTGTATATATGTATGTATATATATACATATTTATATGTGTGTATGTATGTATGTATATATGTATATAAATATATATATATATATATATATACGTACATACGTACATATATGCATGCATGCATACATACATACATATATACATACATACATACATACATACATACATACATACATACATACATACATACATACATACATACACACATATTAATAAATAATTATATATTGTTGTATATTATTAAATATTGTTATATATGGTTGTTCACGCACGGATTTATGATGAACAAAAAAGCTTCATTGTTTGTATATGTATTCCTGATTTTTTCCTTCGAAAACTTACAAATACACTAATGCTGTCATTTTATTTGCTCAGGACAAGGAATTGGACCCTCTCACACGACCGCTGCGAGTATACAATAAGCTGCGCACAGTTTTTCAGTTTATCGAGGATGTTGTTTTCGCTGAATCGGAGAATAATGAACAATACGGTACCAAGATATACAGAGATATAAGCTCCACTACATCGAGCGCCACCCCAACGCAAGGCACACATACCGATGCAAGGACAGAACTACACACGTACACCCAAGCACATGCACGCGACGGGAAACATAACAGCACAGAAGGCATCGATATGGATATAGACACTCCGCATAGGTCTGGGGAAGGAGACAATATAGTAAGTCGCTAACCAAGCTTTGGCGCAGATTTGCTCGTAGATGCAGATCATCATGCAAGGTTTATTCTGAAAGATGTATCAGCACACACGTTTTCATGAAAGGATGGAATATTACCGACGTTAGGTAGCTCTGGAACTGACCGATATATGTACGCGTACGAATTCATGAGTGAATGGAATGCTTGTGACATCAGGGGTCTCTTTATTGACAGATATATGTACATGTACAAAACCAAATGCATCTGACATCAAGAATTTCTTGTACTGCCAGATATATGTACATATGACATCAAGAATCTCTTGTACTGCCAGATATATGTACATGTACTTATTCAACAAGCTGATACAGTCCAGGAACACTACCATGCAGGCAAGCGCAAACGCAAACAACGATAGAGCTTCAACAGTCCCGGACACCCCAACAAAGGCATCCTCTAGGCACGTACGGACAACGTCTAATGTGTTTCTTTGTGCGCTGGGCAAGGCTGTGTGGCCGAAATTGGTAGACTTGCTGATAGACGAGATGTTGGTGGGGGCTATTCCAAAACAGGTGAGTTGACTTGGGGAGCACAGATGGAATGCAAGCATACATGCAAATAAAGCAAAAGCAGCTGTATAGGCATCCATGTATGTCACTAAAGATTTGTTTATGTGTGTATTATGTATAAGTGAATAACTGCACGGCCATCTGCACAACATACATACATTTTAGTTTGCTAGCTGTTTTAACGGATGCGGCGCATGTGGAAGCTGTTTTTCTGCTTATGAGTGTGTGTCTATCATCGCATACGCATATATATATA